AATATCTTGAAGTTTTATAAATCAAGACAGTGATTTTTGTTCCAGTGTATGAAAATAGAAGGTGAACTGAGTAGAAAAYGACACAAATCTAGTTTCACTGTCAAGGTCACTGACAGAGCAAAAGCAAACAAAAATATTATCACTGTTGGGGTATTAGTGAAAGGTGAGTCACATAATACTAACATTTCACATTTATTTTAAAGATAAGCAATACTACAACATTAGGGTATATGTGTATATATATAGATTTTTACATTGTTGGTGATTTCTAAAAACATGAGAATGCTAAAGCTAATATTTCCATGTAGGAAGCCTAATTTATCCCAAAGGGATAAAGCATTCAAATAAAAATTTTAAAACTTGAAATTTAAGAAATAAACCAGGTGCTGTGGTGCATGCCTGTAATCCCAGCGGCTTGGGTGGCTAAGGCAGGAGGACTGCGAGTTCAAAGCCAGCCCCAGCAAAAGCATGGCGCTAAGCAACTCAGTGAGACCCTGTCTCTAAATAAAATACAAAATAGGGCTGGGGATGTGGCTCAGTGGTGGAGTGCCCCTGAGTACCCCCAGTACCCCCCCAAAAAAATTTTAAGGAATAATTAGCAAATTCTAATACATGAGTCTATCAGGGTCAATTACTTATTTGCATTCTGTGTGTGKGGGGGTCTCTTCATGGTCATGAATAAAATATCTAAGTCCAAGGCTAAGTTTGAATTTCATTCATAACATAAAGCAGATTCAGTATATCTTTTTTCTTGGGACTTAGAGTCGAGAGACAAGATTGCAAAAACATTTTAGCAAGGAATTTACCTGGGTGAATGAATAATACCTCAGTTTTAAGATAGTTTCATTTTGTATTTATTTCAAAATATTGCATTAGTGTAAATGGCAAAAAGCCAAACAAATTACCTAAATGACTGTCTATGGGGCAGACTCTCTTCTGCAACCCATTCTACAATGACAAACAGTTCAGAGACATAAGTATTTTACAGATTTGAGTAAAAAATATAGAATAGATTAACTTTTATACACTTAAACTAAAATTACACTTAATAATCTCTACTTGTTCACTATAAAACAGTTTTCAACAAACTAATRTTAGCATCAAAGAGTTGCTTTTAGTTTTATTAGTTTGTTTTTACCCAGAATTAAGCACAAAGCGGGTAGTGAAATAAAATGCAAATTCCTACCTTTAGGGTTCTACCATGAAAAATTTCAGCTGGGAAGATGAATTTCCTTTTACAGTGATTCCTCATTATCCACAATGAGAAATAAAGATGGCCTGGATACAGAATCCACTAAGGGTTCCAAAAACTTATTTTGGAYAACCATTTCATATTCTAACATCATCAAATGATCTAACAGAGAAGCACAAAAGGAGAAAAGAGGCTGTTCTGAGTCCTTCCTACTACACTGCACATGCTCATTACCAAATAGAGGTGTTAATGAGCATGAAAGTATCTAGAACACACTCCAAAGAAAAAATAAATAGCAAGTAAATCCAACTTAATTTAAGTTGTGCTTTCAGGGTATGACAAGGCCAAGCTAAACCACCATTCCCCACGTCCCACAGAACTTCCACAGCCAATCCTGCATCATCCTGCTCTCACCCGGAGTGTTTTCTTGGGAGTAACACCAAGCCACTTTCCAGCAAAGTCTTTAGGGGTCAGTTAGGGATATGCTGTCATTCGACCACACTGGCGGCCTCTCTCTTCAGAAATAATGACAGGCATGTGTTTTTAAAATCAGCTCTCTCCATTTTCTAAGACACGGATTGGAATGCTGCCTTTAGCATTTTAGCTGTTATTAAACCAAAAGAATTTCAGTTTCTATTGAAATAATATTATAGTTTCTATTTAACACTTTCATTGAATAGTTTTCATTTCTTAAATCAATAATGTTTGTCCAGCTACTTATATCTTAAATTGGAATGAATGTAAGTATTAAATTTATACTAAAACCACGGGAAGGTTTCAACTACAAAGCTAAGTTCTTCTAGGGTTGTATTGAAAATCCATTGTATCAAGACTAAGCAGTATGTTGCCTGAGACATGGAAAGGGATATTTTTATTTATATATTTATATAAATAATTTTTTMTACTACATATTCACTACAGAAAGCTTGAAAAAGTGAAAAAAAATTCCCCCATCACATCAACCAAACACATAAATTACAGTAACTTTCCAGGTACATTTTTTTCTTTTGATGTAAATACATAGCTATATTTTAAAAACACATGTTAGTTTTATCTATAACAACACCTTTGCTGCAATTTAAAAATATTGTGTCAGGAGCAATTTTCTTATGTTTGTAAATCCTTGAAAGCCTGAATTTTTAATGGCTGTATAATATTTCAACTAACATACATATCATAATTGGTTTAATTATTCTCCTACTATAATTGCTTCCAATAYTTTGCAATTTGTCCAGCAAAATTGTATATAAGTGTTACCAGAAGTTCTTATTACTACCTTGGAATTACTAAAAGAAGAATTTCCAGGTAAAAAGAATATATTTTTTAAAAAGTGACTATTTGCTAGAAATAGCAATATATACTTCTACAAGCAGTGTATATGAATGCTTGTTACATCATATCCTTCCCACCTACACATATTTTTATTACAACTTTATTCAACTGTTATGTTGAAATAACAACACCTTGTTTGATAAAAAAGATAAATTTCTATTCTTTTCATGATAAATGGCATGTAAAGAAAGGCTCCTTATATATATTTTATGTAAATGTTTGACAGAAACTAACATATAAATGTATACAAATCAACAAAAAATCTTAATAGTAAAATATGTAGTTATCAAAACATACATATAAACTTGAGGCAAAAAAGTTTTTCCAATTCATCATCTGGTTTAAAATTTATGTGTTAACAAATGACCTGTACATGTTTTGGACTGTAGTTCCAGCCAGTTTTATCTTTGTGGGAGTGATTCTTCACACTAGTGTCTTTCTGGAATTCCTGAAATTTCCATTCACTAATAGGATCCTTTCTTATTTTTCTAGTCATTATCATTCAGACAGACAAATATGCATTCACATGGGTATAGATACACATGTACACCTTTTCTGTTATTTCAGAGAATTGGAGTTGTGAATACATTGGCAGTAGTGGTAGGGCAGTTAAAGAATATCATAAGTTCAACCTACCATCTGACTACTTTCTCAATTTTATTATTTGTTAAACAGTATGCACTCCAATTTCATAGGGCTCTTTCTTTTTATCTCAGACTTGTAGATGCAACTTCTGTTTAACATCTTTACTTAGATTTCTTATAAGTATCTAAAACYAACATGTTCAAAACTGAATTACCCAAAATCTACATTACTAAGGCATCAGACACATACCAGAACCCATGGAGCAAATTCTTGACAATTTCTTTTCTCTTACTTATCATGAAGTAGTCCCTACAAAATAGACTTAATTTCTTTTCATCTTTACAGCCATTAACTTTGTCCAAGCACCATTATCTCTTACCTGGGCTACTTTAACAGCCACTTAATTGGCTTTATTGCTTTTCCTCTTCCTCTCTAATCCATTTTCACCAGAATACCAAAGTCAACGTTTATAAATACAAAAAAGATCCGAGTCAATCCCTTGCTAAAACTCTTCTATGTCTTATTGCTATTGCAATAATTTCACTCTTTCCATTAAAGTCAATTTCTTRTTAGGTCTCTGATATTTACTTAAGGACCTCATTGATACTAGTGACTTATTAGCCTGCTTGGGTTCTAGAAATTTGAAATCTTGGCTCTTTTTCTTATCCTACCTACCTTGCTAAGATGACCCATAATTTCATCTAATAAAACTACAATTCCCCTCACAAAAACTGTCTATATCACAAATCTGTTTTAAGTTATAATCTTTTAGAAACCAGGTTTTTKTATCTACTTGTAGCTAAATCCCTTTAGTAACTATTTTTTCCCAAATGAACAAGGCCAGTTAAACCTCTGAATGCCTCTTAGTCCAACTTCCTATAAAATGGAAATATTCATATAGTTTCAATATATGGCAAGTTCGTACAAACTTTGTCACCATATAATCCTGAGTAAAAATTCTTACTCTAAGGCACAGCCATTATTTCTGTCAAGTGAGGAAGTAAGGTTGTATGATTTATAAGGTCTCTTCTATTTCTAGTAATCACAGATTTCATGAGTGAATGTACAATACAATAATTATCACTTAAAGTCCATGAAGATTGTAATCATATTGTATTATAGTCACAATTGCAATAGAAGGTAATATTCTATTTTAGATTTAAGAAGATTTTATCAAAGAGAAAAACAATTTGACCCAAGCTTTTTGGAGACAAATTTAAGCCCCATAAACTATCCGGCTACCACCATGAATCCACACTATTAAAGATTCAGTGCTGTTTCCAATTGCTCAATGAACACATAGAACCTTAAGAATTGAAAATACAGTAACAACAAAAACAACAACTACTACTACTAGTACTGTTGCTGCTGCTACTACTGGTACTATACAGTAACAACAATTGGTAAGTTTTAGACTATTCTAGGTAATAATCAAAACCCAATTACAACAATCAAACAAATGGAAAATAGGGGGAAAATAAGGCACAGTAGGGACCAAAAGCTTCTTCCTGAAAGATCAATAAAGTTCAATGGTTCATATTGGTTTACACAAAGAACCAAAATGTGCCCCCTCCATTCCACACTCTTTCCATTTTTATAATAGTATTAAAAGGAAAGGCTCTCCAAATTGTTACTGGTTTGATCTAAAGGTTTACTAGTTTTTACATTTGACTAGAGACCATTCTAAGACTTGATCAAGATCACAAACACAAGAAAAAGCAAGAATTCTCTCCTTCCCCAGTAACTTATAACTCCTAACTACCTCCTCACAAACAGTATGACCTTTAAAAATGGAAATCTATTCCCACTAACACTTAATTACTATGCCAGATTTGAGCACTGCTCTTTGTATTGATGGATTTCATAAATTAAATGATCCACATTGCTTTACCTGATACATTCCAACTCCAATGTGCTTCGGCTCAATTTTCACTAGCTCAGCTAATGGATCTTGTACACGCCTTGCTATGGAAACTGAAAAAAAACAGAATCAGAAAACAAGTATGACTTAATGTGAAAAGCAGTACTCAGATAATTACTTATGTTAGTTCCTYATAATTTAAGTACTTAATCCTATCCCTACTTATACTGCCCTCCAAGGACAAACAATTTAAATTTCAAAGTTCTCTTTCTTTCCCATGCAAAATTTCAGAATTAATCATGCCATTCTAGGCATTCTTGAGCATAAATAGACTAAAAAGAATTATAGACTTGAAAAAAACAATCATAACACTTAGTTCACATACCTATACAATTATCTGTTCATTCTTAAAGAATAGGATATTTCATGCTTAAAAAAGTGAGTAGATATTTGTTTTATTTTTAAATAATTATAATTATAAATATGATGTAGGGCAAGCCCAAGATGGCTATATTTAGGATCCTTTGTCAAGGCTTCTGGCAGATTATGTTTTTAGTATGAAGCCAAGATCATGACTACCCTGATTCTGCATATATATCAAGGTTATAAATGTTTGCTTGTGAGCATATGCCCACTTATGTAACCTGAAGGCAATGGGATTCTTTTGTTTGGCCTGCATATAAAAAAAGGCCTATGGAAATGGCTCAGGGATCTAAATGGAACTGGCTGGGAAAAAAATGGGGAAAAAATGAGGTTGGAGGCTGGGGGACTGCTGCTGCCTCTGAATACAGAATGTCTACTATCCTAACTGTGTTGTACATCTTCTTCCACCTGCCAGGATCCCAAATCTGTTTCCCAGMGTCTGAGCCTCCCCCACAACATATGACTTGTAGTTATATGTCAAATATGCTATCAGGACTAGATCCTGTGATAATAATGAATAAATAATGAATCATATCTTAATGCAAGCAGAGATACTGAGTCTACTAGCTAGTGAATACACTTGTATGCCACTGAATATGACTGCAGGAGTGCATTGCGAGGCGCTCTAGCCCAACTGCTTGTCTTGTAACACATATACAGTTCTAATCACATCCCTTTCTTGACCATCACAATCCATACTCAAGAAACTTGAAAAATAACTTCAAACATACTTTTATCTACATCATGATTTTTTACCTAATCATCATTTACTACCATCATTTTAACCAAACAATAAAACTTCTATATAATTGAACTTACAGATTTAGGTAGAGAAAACATATTTATTATGACTTTTATGGATATTTCTAAAGGCACCCACCCCAACCCCAACCCAAGTAGCACAGTAACACCGAACAGCTTCATACATATATACACACTATTATATACAATACACTAATATATATTATCAAGTACTGTTGTGTACATACATAGTTACATTGAGTACTTTATGTACACTTTATTTAAATAAAGCTATCTTGTGTTATTTTCTAAATACATGAAAGCCAATCAGTGTTACCTACTCATATTGACTGGATGCAATGTAAATTCATTAAGTGAAAACATTGTAACACTACCAAAGGAAATTCATGCTTGCTTTCATATTAAACTGTTTAGGTCTAGCAACAAAAGTCACCTCTTGTAAGAGATCTTCAGATTCTCTAGTCCTCTCTCGTCAGAAAATAAGATCTACTGTGAACATCAAGTTCACTATATGGACACTGTCATTTTTATGTCCTCTCTTAATATATGTAACACATTGACAAAGGCAATTTGCAAAGTAAGTTTAGATATTAGTAACCTGGTGACATACAATCTGCCTATTTCTCTTACAGAAGAGAGGATTTCAAGGCCTTCACATATACCTTTCAATCAAAACTCACAAAAGCAGAGCTGAGGGTTTACTCAGTGGTAAAGCACAAGCAAGTTCCTGAGTTCAATCCCCAGCACCATCAAAAGAAAAAAAAAAATCACAAAAGGTTAATCAGTGGGGGGTGGGGGGGCTGGGGTTGTGGCTCAGTGGTAGATCACTTGCCTAGCACATGTGATTCCCTGGGTTTGATCCTCAGCATCACATTAAAAAAATAAATAAATAAAACAAAGGTATTGTGTCCAACTCCAACTAAAAAATAAATATTAAAAAAAGGTTAATTAGGTGTAAACACTKCAGTCTATAAAAGAAATGCTTTCCTCTAATAATGCTACAATTACAAAATGAAAATACAGTGCTACTAGTGATGTACTTGAATTTCTATAAATCAAACATTTATTTATCCTAGCTTTAAATCTATAATGCAGTAAGAATGATTTTCAGGGCTGGGGATGTGGCTCAAGCGGTAGCGTGCTCGCCTGGCATGCGTGTGGCCCGTGTTCGATCCTCAGCACCACATACAAACAAAGATGTTGTGTCTGCCGAAAACTAAAAAATACATATTTAAAAAAAATTCTCATTCTCTCTCTCTCTCAAAAAAAAGAATGATTTTCAAAAAACATATATATATATATATATATAGCCAAAATACTTTAAGAATAAAAAAACACCCAAAGAATAAACCAAGTTAAAATATAGGCATCARAATATTTAAGTGTAGAAAGGCAAGTACTAGAAATGCAATAAAAGAAAATCAATAATGGGTAAATCTCTTAAATCTACCCCTACCAGAAAACCCACATTATGAAACTCTAAACAGAAACTGGTTAAAGCAATTGCATAATTTGTTAAGTGTGGGTACAGCCTCATAGTTAAAATTTTTCGGAAATAYACAAAAGGGTTTTAAGCTATTTTCTATTCTGTTTGCATCTAATTGCTGTGTTCCCTTTTGCATTCTAATATTACTAAATGCAGCAGAGCAATGGAATGGAAATTGGGGCTTCTAGGTGACATGTAAATGCTACATAAGTCCAGAGCCTCTGGAGTTACAGTGCTTCCAATAAACAGCCTTGACAGACAACCTAATGTTTCTCCAGCTGGTATTTCCCTCTCAGATGCTATTCACTCTGTATAGTCTAAAAACTTAAGTATGGAAGAAAAGGAAGGAGGGGTAGAGAGGATGAAAGATGAACACCAGTCAAGACAGATTCAGTCACATGTTCAGGCTTTGGAGAGAAATTGACAAGATCACCAAGCAAGAGTTACTTAGTACACATGATAAAGCAGAGCTCCAGTGGATAATAATCAGGCTTGGCAAAAGATTCCCACAAGGAAAAAGTAAGAGATAACTCAGGAAAAGAGAATATATAAGCTAGTTTACCAAAAGAATTTTTTAAAAAAGGAAGTTGTAGACCCAATCTTAGGGGACATCTTTATTTTGAGATGGAGAGGAAAAGGTAGAAATAGTGGAAAAAAGCAACAAATGAATCATAAGGAGACTACAGTAACTGATGTAAGTCAATATGATTTCTGGGAAATGTTAAACATACAGTTACCACATACCCTCAAATTTTTATTCCTAGGTAGATACTCAAAAGAAATGGAAACATGTCCACATAAGACCTTATCAATGAATGTTCACAGAAACATTATCTAAAATAACCAAAAAAAAAAGTAAAAACATCATAAATATCCATCAACTGATGAATGGATAAACAAAATGTGGTCTACCCATTCAAAAGAGTATCATTTGGTAACACGACAGAGTGAAATGTTGATATATACTTTGAGGAAGAGCATGGATGAACCTGGGAAACATTATGCTAAGTGAAGAAGCCAGACATAAAAGACCACATACCGTATGATTCTAATCAAATGAACAGTCCAGAACAAGCAAATCCACATAGTTAGATGGCAGATTAGTTTGCCAAGAGTTGGCGTGGTAAATGGGAAGGGTGGGCTGAATGGAACCCAAATACTACTTTATACACATGTGAGATCAATATTTTCCTATACCAATGCTACTTTTTATCATTGTTCAGGAAATAATATTAGTTAATGTGCTTTAACAAAAAGGAAGATATAAATATAAATACAGTATAAAAACTAGATTATTATTATTTTTATTTGCAGATGATATTTGTCTACCTAAAAAACTAAAGTAGCAAGTGAACTGAAAAAATGTAAGAACTAATAAGATTCCAATCAGTCTGGCTGGTTTCAACACACAGTCAAAACATGATGCTCTATCTTATGCACTCAACAGCCAATAAGAAATGGACTGGGGAATGGAAAAAAAATGGGGAGATGTTGGTCAAAGGGTACAAACATGCAGTTATAAGATAAGTAAGTTCTGGAGATCTAATATACAGTGTGGTAAATTAAAATTAAAAACAAGCAAAACAAAAGGATCATTTACCATATATGTAGTGTGTGTGTGTGTGTGTGTGTGTGTGTGTGTCTACTTAATCTCCGAGAGAAATAAAAAAGTCCAGAAACTGGACAAAAGGATAGATGCTAACAGAATTTTGCTCTATATCTTACAGAATTTAAAAACTGTTTATTAAATGGATTTAAAGTTTATTTGGAAAAAAAGAAACACCTAAGAACAATTAAAAAAGATAAAAGCACTCCTATTATAAGTCACAAAAACAGAATCTTGAATTGTGTTAAACTACATAGACCAATGAAAAGAGCATAGAAAGTACACATGAAATTTTAGTTGTTAATAAATAGTAATTTGGTAAACCGTAGTGTCATTAAATGTGTAAAAGAAAATTATTAATAAGGGTATTGAGCTAAGAAGCATTAGAGGAAAAAATGTGTTAGATACATAAAGGAGGATAGTGAGTCCAGATTTAGTGAAGATCGTCACCCTAAAAGGTTAGCAACACCTTTCTCATAYGGCTAAGTTACACTGTGTACAACTTGCATGCTGATATACAGTAGTCTGAAAGCAACACCTCTCACCCCCTTTCATTACATGCCTTGTATCCAAAAAATAAAAATGGTTCCAGGGCCCTTGAGTTCTATGAAATACCCAGAATCCTAAAGCTTCTAGAGTAAATCAAATCATTGCCTAAAAAAGACTCTACTAAACAGTCCACTTTTAATTTTGTCTTATTATATTATCTAACAATATTAAATAGAGGTATTTCTTTTTAAGATCCAATATTCATCTTGTTTTATCTTTCCCCTTGTCAGGAAGGAACAAAGGAAAATCCATAAAATTTCTCAATGTAGTTTTTTAATTTTCATTCAATAACATCAAATTTGAATTGTTTTCATTATAAAGTTTATTAAGGATGGGCACAGTGGTCCAACCCTGCAATCCCAGATACTTGGGAGACTGTGGCAGGAGAATCACAAGTTGAAGGCCAGCTTGGGTGATTTAGTGAGAACCTGGCTCAAATAAAAAATGATGAGGCAGGAGGATTGTATGTTCAAAGCCAGCCTCAGCAAAAGCAGGGCACTAARCAACTCAGTGAGACCCTGTATAGGGCTAGGGATGTGGCTCAGTGGCTGAGGGTCCCTGAGTTCAATTCCCAGTACCGCCCCCCAAAAATAAGTAAATAAAATAAATTAAAAATGAAAAAAGGGCTAGAGATGTAGCTCAGAGGTAGAGTATTCAATCCCCAGTGCCATTAAGAAAACCCACTTTATTAAAATGTAATGTTAATAATTTTGATGTCAACATATCACCTTGACTCTGTTGAATAARAAGCTAACAAATACGTTAATGTAGTTTAAAAAAATCACTATACATCTTGATTGTAACAGAGTTRGTAGAGGTTATATAAGTTAATCAAAATTCATAGATGGTGAATTCATCATTTTCTGTAATGAATTTTAAAGGAAAAATTTAAAGAATAATGTCTTCCTTTTGAAAGGATGAATTTTACTTTATGGATGTATCTCTAAATGAATGGAATACTTCTATTTCTCTGAGAATGTTAAACATTTCCTTATTTTTCTTCTGCCAACATCAATTCTATTTCCTCTGTAGCTTTTTCCCCTGGTGTATTTTGACATGTCATAAGTAAGTTTTCCTTATACGTTAGGTGACCCTTAACTGTCCACAACGGGCAGGGTACGAACAAGCTGACTGGAAGTACTTTCTTCAAAGGTAAGCGTTACCGCTGGCATCAATACAGGGTGCTCTGGTCATTTCTCTATGGAATCTCTGATCTTGGTGTCTTTAGGTATTATCTCTTGTGTTGGTCAAAGCTATCAATTTTCATAAAAGGTTTGTTCCTCTCTAAATACTCTTTATGGCATCCCCACTCCTGTATGTAAGCTGTGTCCACCACTGTAGAAACTTTCTGTTTCACCACTCCAGAAAACAAATCTCTAGTCTTCAGTAAAGGCGGAAAAATAACAGTAACCTAACTATGTGGAAGGAAAGGTCTAACTGTTGCTATCTTATTGAGGTGAAAGTTATATAACATATAATTAATCATTTTTAAAAGTGTACAAGTCAGTRCTACTCACTACACTTACAATGTTATGCAACCACCACATCTATCATTACACCAAAAGAAAACCTTGTACCCATTTAAGCAGTCATTTCCATTTCTCTATAGTGCCTGATAACCACAACTGGCTGCCTATCTTACAAATTCTCCTAATCTGCACATTTCATATAAATGTAATCAGACAAATGTGGTCTTTTGTGACTGGCTTTCTCCACTTGGTTTAATATTTTCAAGGTTCATCAAGTTGCAGCAAGTATCAGTACTCTACTCTTTTTCATGGCTGAATAATATTCTAATGTATGAATACAACACATTCATCTGCTGATAAGATATTTGAGTTGTTTCCAGCTTTTGACTGCTGTGAATAGTGCTATCAGCATTTGCATTACAAGCATTTTAGTTCCTATTTTCTATTCTTTGGGGTATATACCTAGAAGTGCAGTTGCTGGTCAGGTTGTAATTCTATGCTTAACCTGGTCTCTTTGATTTTGAAACAGACTTTCAACCAATCCTCTTATTTCAGAACCACCCTTGGCCTTCCCAGCATACCTCCAAAGGTACTTCATACCACTTTCCTGAATCAGGAGGGATTGCATAAGCCATATCATCACATTAGTCTTCTGTTTTCTACAATGCTGCTGTCTTACAATTCAACTTTCTCCAGCTGGCTAGGTCACTTATAACTCATCTAACTGGCTTCTAGTTTCAAAACTTTTTGTTGCTGCTTTCTCTTCTCTCATTCTTTTTGTCCTAGAGGGCTTATTTCTTATTCCTTTAAACAGAATGTTTCTGTCATTTTAATAGAATTTCAGAAGGGATGGAAGACATAAAAAGTATACTCCATTTCCCATTTTAAGTCAGAAATCAATAAACATTTTAGTATCATCTGTTAGTTTATCCATTCAGATTGAAGGCCTTTCCTGTACAATGTACTTATTATGGGAGAGATAAGCATTGATAAAACAACTTCTATTTTCAATAAGATGATAAACTGACCAAGGTGATGTAGTAATACAAAGGTCATTCTCTTATGTATGTCTAACACTTGCATGGCTGCTGAGGTTCTATTATATAAAAGTAAACTTACAAAGAATTTGTATTAGCCCATTTTCTGTTGCTATAACAGAATACCTTAAACTGGATAATGTCTTAAATAAAAAGGTTTATTTAACTCACAGTATTTTGGGAGCCTAAAAATTCAAGATTGTGTGGCCTCATCTATTCAACCTCTGGTGAGGGCTCTCTTGGCTGTGTCACAAAATGGAAGAGAAACAGAAAGGGGAGCCAGCCACATGTTGAAGGGGCAAAGCACGTGAGGTGGCCTTGTAACAACTAACTGCACAAGATTAGCATTAATCCATTTCAGGAATGATGCTCTAGTGAGCTAATTAYCTTGAATTAGACCCCACCAATTAAAGATGTCACCAGAGCCAGGCTCAGTGGTACACGTCTGTACTCCCAGAGGCTTGGAAGGCTTAAGTAGGAAGATCTAGAGTTCAAAGCCTGCTTCAGGAACTTGGTGAGGCCCTAAGCAACTCAGCAAGACCCTGTCTCTAAATAAAATATTTAAAAAGAGGTGAGATGTGACTCAGCAGTTAAGAGCCCCTCCCTGGGTTCAATCCGAAGTACCCCCCATCTAAAAAAAAGAAAGAAAGAAAGATTCCACCACATGTCAACATCACTACACTAAGGACTGAGTTTCTAGCACATGAATCCTCAGCAGACAAACACCCAAACCACAGCAAGGTTTAAAGGTAAATCCCATACTCATAGGTAGCTCAGGTCTCAAAGTACAAAGTCATTTTTGGCATAAAGTACTACAAAAGAGGAAGACTCCCAATGAGAAACAGGACTCAAAAGGAAGTGGGGGCTGTGGGTGGAACTCAGAGGTAGAGCCTAGCATGTATAAGGACCTACACTACAAAAATAAAAAACAAAAAAAGAAAAGGAAGTAAGCCCTTGGAAGCCAAGAATGGAGACTTGAAGCTTGTTTGAATATTTGCCTTCAGACCTAGACTTTAAAGACTCTAAGGGTCCAGGTAGATGTTTTGAGTTGATATGGATTAAAGATCATCATTGCCACACAGCAGCAAGTTGAGATATATCTTGTGATTCTCAAGGAAGGGATGAGAATCACAAACTAATTCAAGTCACATAGTAATTCCCTTTTTTATTATGGTCTTCTTTCATAGAGTCTTGATAGAATGTTGTAATCTGGTCCCACCTATAATTCTTTAACAGTTGTGCAGCCACATGGACAAGGGTTAGGAAGAAACAGCAATCCCTCAAGCAGTGGAAGSACTGAGGACTGCTGCCTTCCAGAAAAAAGATATCTTTTCAATGCTAACTTGGGAAGTTCTGGACTTTATTATTTATAAAGAAAACATCATTCTTTTATAAACATTACGTACACAAATATTACATACACACTTACTGGCTATGTGGCCCTTTAAGCCTTAGTTTTCTCATCTGTAAAGTAGGAATAATRATAATGTCTTATAGGGCAACTGTGAGGATAAAATAAAATAATCCTGATAAATTATTTCTCACAATGTTTTATACATATTAAGTACTTAAGAAAGATTGGAATTAGAAACTCTCACTATGATTACTATTTCTACTCCTCCTACCATTATCATCGCTATTGTTATTACAGGGCAAACACCAAAAGCACATGGTAAGGAGGCAAAGACCAGGTTAAGCGCATGTGATAGAAACAGCTTCACAGAAGAAGCAAGATGTTGAACTGGAATTTTGAGTTTGAGAAGATGATAATTTTAGACAAGGAATTGTGTTATGGAAGAAACAATTGAAGAGAAACTACAAGGCCTTTTGAATGTTTGAAAAAGAACTTTTTAGCTTTAGATTAATGGAAAACTGCTCAAAAATATATCTCTAGGTATAGATTTCAAGAACAGCCAATGAAAACTGAAGCGATACTTTAAAGAAAAAAATTAAATGAAAGGCCTATTAGTAACAAAGTGATCTAATATCCTTCCATTACACAGAAAAATGCTCCGACCAGATCTAATATTTTGCTTGACACAACTGTTTCTACTTGAAAGTATTCAAACTTCTTGAAATAAAATATTCCACATCACAGAAATTAAAGCAATCAAATATTACTAAAATAAAAGTAGGCTTTTTAAGGCAATAAATACACTATCAAATGACAATCTCTAWTATTAACCCACGAGAGACAAAACACTTGACAAATATTTAGCGGTAAACTGAAAGACTGTATATGCATGCATTTGTACTACAAAAATTTTATGTTAAAATATTACTTATTGCCAAAAGCCTATAATTATATTTTGTAATAGTAATAAAAAGTATTCTGTTATTTTTATTATTAAACTCTCTGGAATTTGATTTTCTAAATATTTTTGGGTTAATTTTTTACTATTCTCTAAGAGTACTAATGTTCTTTAAAAATGGGACAGTATTATTCTTCTTTTCCATAATTCCAATTATTAGTAAAATCAACCACTTTCCTTCTATTATGCCAATTCTTGGGCATATGGTATATCTTTTAAAGTTTCTTGGGTATTGAAAATATTCAGCTTGGCACACATGCAAGTCCCAAATATCAAAATGACATGTTTTTGTGATGAACCACAGTTTCTTACCTGCACTTCTTAAATTAGGATCTAGCCCTGGCATCTCTTTGTTAGCTTCAGGACTAACACTGTAGATTGATGCTCCTGCTTCACTGGTAATACTGAAAAGAAAAAAGAAAAAAAAGGGGGCAACATTGTTTTCCAAACTTTCTACCTAGCCAAAGAACATAAAACTCAGAAGATCTACCTATCTATCTACATATATATATATATATATATATATACACACACACACACATCACCATATCATAAAACACACACACACACATACACACACACTCAGGCAAAGTGCTCTCTTTATACCTCAATGATACCAAAGCATTTAGTATTTCATCAATACAAAGTTATATTAAGCAATGTTGGTTTTCTTCCACATAGAAAACATATGGGGTTATATCCAGGATAAATTCATTCCATTATTTTCTCTCTCGCTGATAATAAGAGAAAGTTTATAGATGAACACAATGAATACTTTTCCCTGATAATAAATTTCAAAATGTTCAGAATACACTTAGTTTCTCCTGTGTTTAGAATTCATTGCTGGCTGACATTTATTCCTGTGTAGATGGGTGCATACGAGGACATATCCCCACCCACACAAATTGCCGTAATTACGACTATTGTTATTATTTGGTTATTTATTCATAATAACCACAACATGAAAAACAAAGAGCAAAAGACCCTTTTTTTCAGGAGGGCCTGAAATTATCCTTTTCATTGGATTTGATCCTTTCACCATTTTATTTCATAATTTCTTTAATATAAATCATCCTTTTCCTTTCTCCTGTGGCTCCAGAAACTTCACGGACCATAACTGGAACACTCTCATACAGCTGACTTTTGCATGCTGGTTGGCATTTCTACAGTTCATCAAACATTTTAAAATTAGAGTTCTCCTTTATGACATAATGTGCAAAGAAATGTTATCTATCCAAATTATAYACAAGACCTATGGTTTTATACCACAGGACCATGTAGGTGTCAAGATTCAAAAGCAGATATGTGTCGGTGCTCAATTTTTAATCCATTCTTAACAATCTCTCCCTTCCTCTGCTCCTCTATATTTACTTTGATTACATGAAACAAGTTCAGTGGATAACTTATTAATATACTACCCCAATGTAATAAGTGAACACTGAGAAATAACAAGGGGAAAAGTTGGTTTACTACCCCCTTGTCTTTGGAGAACTTTTGATTTTTTTTTTTTTTTTTTTGAGAGAGAGAGAGAGAGAGAGAGAGAGAGAGAGAGAGAGAGAGAGAGAGAGAATGAATGAACTTTTTTAATATTTATTTTTTAGTTTTCGGCGGACACAACACCTTTGTATGTGGTGCTGAGGATCGAACCTGGGCCGCACACATGCCAGGCGAGCGCGCTACCGCTTGAGCCATATCCCCAGTCCTTGATTGAATTTTGACAACTATAAGCCACTAAGACTTTAAAAGATTATTCTTGAGATCATGAAGACTTATCTTTTTGCAATCCACTATCCTAAATTTTGTGATAGGAAAAATGAACACTGCAATTGGAAAGCATGGCTGATTACCCTGCTTCTCATTAACACCATACAATAAGAGATAACTGAGAGCATATTTTGTACAAAATATAAAACCAACTACTTTACAGAAATTATCTCATTTAATGAATTAGATCTATTTTATAAGTGACCAGTAAGCCCAAGGTAAGCAATTGAGCTGGATTTAGACCCTAACTTGATCCTCAAGTTTGAGCTCTTAACCAGAACAACCTAGTAGTTACTAAATAGTTTCACAGTCTTTTATTAACTCATTAAGTCCCAAGTTTTCAATTGTGTGAACATAAAATAAATACTCAAATATTATTTCAAAGTTACCTAGAAGGTAAATATACAATTGTGGCTCAATTTAAGTTTTCCAGGTGTTCCACATCTGAGACAATTGGACAAAAATGGGTTAAAATGAGAACCTGTATTTTTTTATTTTTATTTTTTTTAAAGAGAATTTTTTWAAATATTTATTTCTCAGTTTTCGGTGGACACAACATCTTTTATTTTATTTTATGTGGTGCTGAGGATAGAACCCAGCTCCCCACACATGCCAGGCAAGCACATTATGCTTGAGCCACATCCCCAGCCCAAGAGAACCTGTATTTTTATGCAAAACAATAAATACAATATCTTTTCTAAAGAGCTACTGTCTTCATAAGAACTCATCTKTCTTCCATTGTCTTCATCTCTGATGCAAAATGAGTTGTTGTGTTTTTTTGTTGATGTTGTTGTTTTTAAGTATCTTAAGATAGAGCCTGAAGCACATAGAAGGTCAAGCATGTCAATAATTTCATAAATTCAACTTTACAATTAAAAGAAAATTATGTTTTTTCACCAAAATAAGACTTAAATTATGTGTGCCTTGTACTATATAATGATCAAGAAAAAAATATATTAAATAAAGCTTGAAGTAAAAAAAACTCTTTACGTGGCATAATAATATGATGGTAAAACTAGTAAACTAGAAGTGATTTTTCAATTCAGTACTTCTAAACCCGGAACCCTTGGACACTAGACAGAGAGAAGCAGGATTAATTAAAACTGTGGTAAAATATTTGTACTTATGTATTCTCCAACTCACCCCAGGAAGAGGGCTTACACCTTTAGCTCATTATACTTCAAGAAATTCAAGACCTCCCCAAAAGATTATGAAGCACCACCACAGGATAAGAATATTCAGTAGCCATTTCAAACACAAATCAACAATCAATCTAATCAAATATTTTCTAAAAAACTAGCGTATCCATGAAGCACAAGCTCAACCTATTGTTTGGAGAAAAGAATGTTTTATAAATCCTCCAAAGTTACAAGTATATAAACAAAGGGAACTTAAGTGGTAAATTAAAATTCTAACTAACTGTGGCTTTTAGCTGTTGGGTACCTGAGAATTTGCTGGTGATTCACTGTCTCCTGAAGTTATAATTCTCAATGGACTGAGGGAAACTGTTGCAAAGAAAAACACTCAGATAATAAATATTCCTTCAAATACCACACTGCCACTCCTTTTAAACAGAAGAATACAAAACAGATGTGACACACTGCACCCAAAGATTTTAGATTAACATTAATATTAAATCAATACAAAATGTAGTAAATTTCATATGCTTTAGTTATTGAATAATATGGGACCAATAAACAGCTCAGAACTAAGCACAGATCAGAAAGCTTAAATAATCTAAATGAACAGAAAAGCCTCAACACTGATTACTTCAATATAAAACATATAAGGACCCAAGAAGTATATGTGGCAAGAATTAAATGAAACAAATCAAACTGAGAGTGGTGATGATTTCTTCCAGAAGAAATTGCTAAGAACAAAAGCTTCAATGCACCCCTCCCCACCTTTTCATTCAGCAGAAAGCATACTAGATTTATAAGGTAACTTCTGTTTAATGGGAAGTTTTCCAATAAACTATTGGGAAATTTTTTCTCACTGTGTTAGACATAGTTGTATGTCTAACACAGTGAGAAAAGTAAAAGTGAACTTTGTGTTAAAATCATACATCTAATGATTTAATAAGTATTTCAATTTAAAAAAAGAAATTTCTCTCCAGTATAAAAAAGTTAGGCTCCAAATCTTAGCAATTCGATTATTTTACATGTTTTACCAAAAAGCAAAAAAGACTAAGCAGAATTTATTATTTTAGGGGACTTTAACTGACAAAATTGTAATTGAACTAATGTTCAAAATGTAATTGAACTAATGTTCAAAATGTAATTGAACTAATGTTTCAAGAATATTACAGTACTCTGAAAGTCCTTCAAGTTGCTCCAGTTCAGACAAACACCTAAATAGATAAATAGGTGGTATCTAGAGCTTTAAACATATGAAAATATGTTTCAGAAGCTAACACCGAAGTCAGACATATGTTAATATGCTAATTCTCTAAAATTAAATTGATAATTTTAAAAGTATGTTATCTGGTTAAGTACTATTTTAGGGTCTCTTTGGATCTTTCTAAGTAAATAAACTACCTTCATAATCTAAAAAGCAAGTAAAACATCTACAACATGGAAAAATTCCCTTTAAATTCTTTTAAAATATTTCCCCAAACTCCTATGTCAAAATGCTATATTTGGTTATTTTAATAAAATTCAACAGTATAACTTACATAACACTTATCATTTTTTTTTTTCAAATTTATACATTTAAATTTCAGAATTGATACCTCCACATTTCGTACGTCTCTTCTACCATGATAGACTATATTGATAGAGCTTTTAAAATCGGATTTGTGAGTACTTCTCTTAGAGTGACAATTCATTCAAATAGTAAAAGAATCTTTTCTGTTTTGTTTTTGTTTTTAACCAAGTTGAGATGGGAGGATGAGATTCTTTTCACAAAAGAAAACTAGCTTGCTTGGTTGTTAAAGCAATTGGGCTAATAGTTTTCAAATTCATTCTTAAGGTTACACAAAGTCTCTGTATGAATCTCCTCTTCCTTCTGTTTCCYAAATATCAAAATAACTTTGTTATTACTTCTGATTTAAAATAAATTATATGTTTCCTTTTGTTAAGAGGAAAATTTAATTTACAGGTAATTTTCTTAAATGAAAATATAATTACTTAGTAAGATAAAAAAATTGCTAGTATGTTTCCTAAACTAATACAAGTTGATGTTTTTAATACTTCATAAAAGTATACTAGAATTCCTCAAGCCCCGTCAACATGTAGCACCTTCCTTTTCTCCCTGTCTACAAAAAAATATGCACTAAATAGCTATTACATTAACTGCAATGTTTTTGTTTTGTTTTGTTTTGTTTGCTGTGCTGGGGATCGAGTCCATGGCCTGTGTGCATGCCAGGCAAGCACTCTACCACTGAACTACATGCCAGCCCTAACTGAAGTTTAAAAATAACTTATTTAAAACCTGTTCTTGCAAGTTTTCAGAATAAAAAATTCATATTGAGGGAGGTTAAATGAGTTAGTCTTCAACAAGTAATAGAAAGCACTTTAACAATATTAACAGATATTAAAATCTGTTCTGAATGTACACAACCAGAGATATGAAAAATTGTGCTCTATATGTATAATATGAATTGTAATATATTCTACTGTCATATATAATAAATTGGAAT